CCCGCTTCTGGCCGTGACAGCTGGAGGGCCGAGGGGCTGCCCCGGAGGGCAAAGGCGTGCAGGGCTGAAATCCGCTCGCTGTTCGGTTTTTCCTGTCTCCGCATTGTTATCCGTGAGTTTGTGGCTTTAGTCTTCATGGTCTGAATGGGTGTTGCCATCTGTTACTCTTCACCGGAGCTGCGGCACAAGCTCGGGGCTCTTCCTGTGCCAAAGGCTATGCTGTGAAGTCTTCAGAAAACCCTGTGTGTGTCTGGCACCTCCTGCTTCCCACTTACACGGTGCAGACGGCTTCAAAACATCAGGGCTTATATATAGTTCAGGGTATTTTATACATTGCATTTCCTTAAACATACCTAGCTGTGCTACCTATGCTGACTTTTTTAAAATATGCATGATGTATAATAGTTGTTTTTCTTAAGTACTAACGTTCTGCTATATTGAACCATCAATAACCTCCTAGCTTCAAACTTACTCAAAACTTAGGTAGTACCTTGTTTAGCATTTACACAGGCCTTTTTCTGGTTTCCCCATTTCCCGAGTAATTTCTGAGTCCGAATTAGTTGAAGGGCCCTTCCTCAGAGCTTCCTGGCAGCAGTGTTATTTTGTCCCAAAGTGATACAGCTTGATGGCGTGCCCAAAGTGTTGCTGTGACAGTGTCAGTGAGGAGGGGAGTCTCTATCTGAGGCCAGTTGGTGTTCTATAGATCAAAAGTAGTATTTTCAGCAAGGGAAGCCAACAGTTAGTTAATGCCAACCATAGGGCGTTGGTATTTAAAGTTCAGCCTCCTGACATGTTACCCCAGCAACAGACTGTTCTTGACAACTTTTGTCAAGAACTCATTTTTGTCCTAAGTTATGTGAGGGAGAATCAAGGTTAGTGACCTTAGCTTATTGTTGTCCTATCTTTTTCTGTGATGTGCAGCTTTTCGAACAAGTTCCGTAGTTCTTTTGGCATTAAGGTAATACAGATTGCATCGCTTTCATGTGTATCCTTGTCATACCCTTCTCCTGACAGCAGATTACTCCAGTGTTAGTCCTGCTGTTTTAATGATCATATTTCTGATTGTGACAGACCTTACACAGTAGCGCAAGGAAACGCGGTAGGAGTTGCATCTGAGCATCGCCAGCAGTAGCTTGTCACTGAATCTAACTCTTCCTCTGAGTCAAGCAGTAGGAGAGTTGACAGAGTAGACAGATGGTCATCCAAATTCTTACATGTAGCAAACCATGATCCTTTGTCACTTGATCAGTCATGCAACTTCCAGGTGTGAATCCCCCACCTGTCCAATTCATATTTCTGTTTGTGAGGGGAGTGTTGAGTTTCTCCACAGCAACCTTCAGTGTTGACCTTACATACTACTCTGGTACAAAAACCACAATAGACATAAGTGCTCTGGTATAAATTTGACAGCTTCTTTCATATATGGTATCACTTTTAGCACTAGTTTGAATTCAGTACTTTTTCTAGCCTAGGCAAAACTTTTTGGTGGCAAAGCTGTGCATGACTCTTTTTTTTTTTTTTTTTTTTTAAGGAGCAGCCCTTGATAAAGTTACAAAAAGTTACAATCCTCTGGCTTTTTTTCAACCTCCTCTTGTCTTTTTCCAGATGAAGTAAGATACAAAACATTTTGAAGTATCAAGGTCTTTCTAGATGTTTGTTGGTATTGCTTGTTTGTTTTTTTTTTTTTTTTTCCTATGTAAGAGCAGTAGCAGTAACACAAAACTTCACAAGATACCATTTTGTAATCTCTGTGGCTTGTGAAAACTTGAAACGAATAATATATTCCCTATTGGAAAATGTAATCCTGAACTATGAGTGAACTGACTTAACAGTTTGGCATTCAATTATGTGATAGCCTCCCGCTCTTCTATGCCTAGCAGTGGTCTTTCTGCATTTCTTCAGCTATCAACTTTATAGATGTTTTCAGTATGCTCTGGAAACACTTTTTTTCACTGTATTGATACCTATTATTGCCTGTGTTCTTCATGCTTCTTGTGGTGTGACTTTGTAACCATCTCCGCATAGCATTTTTATTTTTAAGAGGACAGTTATCTACCACAACTTTTGTTTCAAAGCTACTTGTTGCCTCCCTAGCTAGTAACTTTCTGTAATGTCCTTGTCTTCCAGAGTTTCTACTAAAATTTCTGTGATATTTTGGCACTATTATGATTACTTCAGGTTTTTTAATGTTAAGAAATAAGTGACTGGTCTGATCACGCTTTTTTTTTTTTCTTTCTACATTTTCACATAAGAAAATCAAGAACAAGCCTTCTCTTAGTGTTTAGGCCAATTTGTTTTCACGCTGTATTGATTTGAGTCTTTCTAGAAATGTATCCAATTAAATATTTTTCACTTTTTTCCCCAAACACTTCAGAGATTCATAAATATTGATGGATGAAAGAGAGTAAAACAACCTTTTAAAATCAAACTCAGCCATGTTTTTGCACAGTATTAAGGCATTCTGAAAATAGCTGTAACAATAGTATTTGTGGGCACTAAACTTGAAAAAGCAAAGAAAGCACTTACAATGAAAAAGAATAAATTTGTGGTAAGTATTAGGAAGAAAAATAGACTTTCAGATAGTCTGCCGAGTTCTATCCTATTTGGAGTATAATAACAATAATCGCTAAGTGTCCATGGCAGCGGCTTATTAAGAGAAAGCAGATGTGAGTCTGGGACATTATCAAAATATTCTGATAGATATTTGTTAATAGGTAGGTTGTTTCTAAAGTCTTGCTAAATCTGCATGTAGGTAAACATTGGATAGTCAGAATATTCACTAGTGGGCAAGAAAATCAGGTTTGATGAGTGTGTGTATAAATGAAATAAATAGATATTGTCATGTCTCTGTGAACATAAAGTTTAATTATGCTTAATTACTTTAAAATAATATATTGCACAATACCTAGAAGTGGATACAGCAGTTCACTCATGCTGGGCGCTGTTGAAGCCTGGGATTCCTGGCATAGCTGTCAGTTCACGTGAGCGCTGCTTGCCGTAGGAACAAATCTTAAGGGAGCCAAGAATTCTTTCATCACTGTAGTAGTTGTATTATACTTGGTGTGATACTGTTTCTAAGGAGGGATTCTACATTTAAAGTTGTGCTGCAGTCAGGCTAGTAGCTTTAGGAGACCTGAGATGTAAAGATCTTACACCTTATGTTCTTTTTCTCTTTAGCAAGTGCTTCAAACCATTGCAGGGCATGGATGGAAGTCATATTCTGGTAAACCTGCTCAAAACTTACATGTGGGCAAACCTGGAGCTGGCTTTAGCTTTGGCAAGTATTACAGTTTTTGAAAGAATGTAGCAATTAAGGGCAAATTGCAGAGTAAAAAAAAAAAAATCCTATATTACAGTTCAACATGAACTTAAAATGAAGATGTTTATTCTAAATAGATTTCTATTATTTAAAAAAAAAAACCAACCAAGATTACTTTCTTCCTCAGCTCAGGCAAGTCAGGTATGTGTGTAGTGTTTATAAGATTTTCTTCTTTTTTTAACTCACGTCTCTCTCAAGCTTTTTTTTTTATTGCCAAAGTGTCTTAGCTTTGAATAATTATCTCACGTTGCTGGTTACAATGTTAACTAAATGTCGTCTTAGTTGAACTTATAAATAAATGTTATAAAGAAATTAATTGTCATCTTGGCATATTATATACATAAAGAAAATTCAGTGGGTCAGCAGCTAGATATTTGAAACCGAATAGCCAGGATCTTCGGACGACATCTGCCTCCTCCTGTTCCTCCATTTAATTAGCACAGCATTCTTCCATTTCTTTTGGTAATACATTTTATGTTACACAGTCCTCTCTACTCAGTTTTCATTATTTTGTGGATAATTTTGTCAGAAGTAGGTAAGTGCATTGTAGGTGTTGATGAGGGAACAACGGAGGTTTTCTCCCAGGAGGAAGAGGAAGCTGAGCTTTTCTTGCTTCCTGGAGGGGCCCAGGAGGTGGTGGGTTGGGTTGTCCTGGAAGGACACTTGTGTTTTCTCTTTTATCATAGTAGAGAATTTGGGACCTTATTTATTTATTTTTAAAATAGAACTTACTGATGAACAGAAAGAGTTTCAAGCTACTGCTCGTAAATTTGCTGTGGAAGAAATTATTCCTGTTGCTGCACAGTATGACAGAACTGGAGAGGTAAATCTACCATAGTGTAAGGAAAAAAAAAATTTTTTATGTTAACCTGCATAAAATTTAAAATGTTGATTGTGATGAATCAGAAGGTTATTTTTCCCTGACTATTTCAGTATCCTTTTCCACTTATAAAACGGGCTTGGGAACTTGGTCTTATGAATTCACACATACCAGAAAGCTGTGGTAAGTAAACATTCTTTTTAATTTGTAAAATGAAACGAAGAAAAGGCATTAGATGAGATTTATATGTGTAATTATGGATTCTGTATAAAATAAACAGTTGCATACTTGAATAATCTAAATTTAATCAGTAGGCCGGTTGACACATGCAAGTGTTACTAGGTGTGGATGTAATCAGGAGACAAATTAGACAGATTATGATTTAAGTAATTTATGACCAGATTTTCCTGCCGTGATTACAACTGCCTAACGTTCCCCTGGTGCACTGTGTCAGCTGATTAGGCAGAGAAATCAGAAGGTCACATTTTTTTCTAGTCTCTGACACAGGCTGGAGCAATTTAAGAGTTTATTCCAGAAGGACAAGTTTTCAGTTTAGATTAGGTGCAGTATAGCAGTGCTTTGGCAGTGTTTGGGTATATGAGTAACCATGGAAAAAATGTTAAATTATTTTCTTTTTTGCATTTATATTACCTGAAAAAGAAGTTAGGGAAGTGTCCATAGCAGACCCTTTTTTTGGAAGACTAATCAGAGGGTATATCTTGTATCAAAAGTTTAATAAACAAGGTTAAGGAACAAAGAGACAAAAGGAGCAATTGTGAAGACTAGATTTATTCAGCCACACATTGCAGAGAAACTAAAGGCTGAAATAGCTGCACTGCTGCAGTGTGTAGTCACTTGGTTATTAAATGAAAAATTAAAAGTGGCAAATTGGGCACCATTGCTTCAAAAGGTCTCCAGGGGAGAGCTGGGAAAATACATACTAGTAAGCCTGACACACCATGTAAGCTAAGATCAAGTAAGATGAAGTACAGAAAGAGTGGACAGAGATAAACACGATATGCTAGAGAAGGGATTTTGTGAAAGGAAGTCATGCCTCGTAAGATCATTGGCATTCTCTGAAGTAGCTAATAAGTGTGTGAACAAGGGATGCCTTGTTGATATAGAATGCTTGAACTTCCAAAATGAGCTTTAAAATCATCAGGTTTCATAGTGGAAAAATCAGCAGCACAGCCTTGCTGGGTCTTGTGCTATTTGGGATATCTATAAATAAACTGGAAAAGGGGGTCAAGATTGAAGTGATAGAGTTTACTGATAAAACTAAGTTATTCTGTGTAGAAAAGATGAGGCCGGTGCAGAGAGCTGCAGGAGAAGGTCATGAAACTGAGTGACTGTTAAATTGGCAAATGCAATTCAAAAACGGGTAAGTGATGCACATGTGAAGGGAAAGAAGCAATCTGAACTTCACAGGGAAATGGTATCTTCTGAACTAGTTACTGCCTCTCAAAAAAGATTTTTGGGTTTATAATATATAGTTCTGTGAACGTCAGCATAATGGTCAAAGCCATAAAATTGAAGGTCAGAAGCGCCCTTTAAGGGAATGAAGAAAAAAGCAGAAGGCATAGTTATGCTGCTACCTGAATCCAAGTTGCACTTTAATTCATTATGTAGTCAGATCATTCCATCTCAAAAGAGTATTGTGGAAATGGAAAAGGTTCCTGAAAGGATGACAAAGATTATAAAAGATGTATCTTCTGTGTGAGATGTCGCTTCTGTATCAGAAATGACTAAAATGTCAGTGTCATGGAGAGTGTGAAAAGGGACTGATAGTTCACTGTCCCTTTCAATATAACTAGAAGGCATCGAATTAAGTCAGCAGATGGCATGTTCAAAATAAATTAAAGAAGATGGTTCTACATGTAGTGTGTAGTTAATTTGTGAAATTGCCATTGCCCCTGGATGATATCGATGTTACAATTTTACTTAGATTCAAAAAGAGACTGGGCAGATTCACATAAGAAATATCTGTCAAGGGTTAGCATAACAAAGATACCAAAGAAAGGTATTTCTTTGGCTGAGGAAGTCACCTGAAGGCTCAGGAAAATATTTTTGAGGAAGTGTAGTTGTATTGTTGCTGCATTTGTATGTACTCTCCAAAGCGTTGGCTTCTGTCAAAAGCAGATGACTGAGTTCTTTGTCTGACTAATATGGGCACTTCCCCCCCGCCCAAGTGCTGTGGTAGCTCAGGAGCCCTTTCTCTGCTTCCTAAGAACTTTTAATTCTCAAATGTAAAGTAGTCAAAAAATTTGAGTGGTACATTCTTGCCACTTTGTGCATCTTGTCCCACATTAATCACACAATAACCCTGGAACTGTGATACAAAATTCTGTAACTTTTATTTAAAACTTTATCTAAAAAAGCTTGCATGAGAATGTCTAATCAAACACGGTACACAATCAAATGTATGTGGGGGACTACATTTTTGGTAATTAATTTGTGTAAATCCGTAGTATGTTACAATTTAAACTCATTTTAGTAAATGAAGTATTTTAACTGCAGGTGGCCTTGGCCTTGGCAGTTTCGAAGTATGCCTTATTACAGAAGAATTAGCTTATGGATGTACAGGGGTTCAAACCGCCATTGAAGCAAATTCCCTAGGGGTAAGTTCTGTCTCTTCTTATGTCCCTTAAGCTAGAGTCTGTGCACTTTAAAAAGATGGATTAAATGGTCTAAATATTTTCTTTCAGCAAATGCCAGTAATCATTGCAGGAAATGAGCATCAGCAGAAGAAATACTTAGGAAGAATGACAGAGGAACCAATGATGTGTGTAAGTATAACTGCTACACTGTGGGATGTTCCTAAACCACATTATCATAGAACCACAGAATGGTTTGGTTGGAAGGGACCTTAAAGACCATCCAGTTCCAACCC